TCCGCAGACATGATGCCTCCTGGTATTCTCTGCGCAATTCAAAGTTGTTAATATCATGAAGGATTCCGAGCTGGGCGATTTAGCAGCTTAATATTTGGCGGCGGGGGCAGTTTACGCGCGTACAATATAGTGGAACTGTAAATAGGAATGAATGATGGACGAAAGTGAAAAATGAGGGGTGCACAAGGCTCTGTATTTAATAACTGCATCTTACTAGCTCATGCATCCTAAGGTTAAGCCTCTTTCCCTACTAGTACGATAAGCTAAGACTACACCCTCTGGTCAATTCCGGTGGTTAGCGTGTTTTATTAACTTTCCATTAAACAGCAAAAATACCAAAACTTCCCCTCCAAAAAGGCCGTGCAGACGTGGCTGCGCTAACCAGCGGAATTGTAACTCAGCTACAGCTGTAGAGTTGTATGTTCTGCACATGAAACAATGGGAAGGCATTTGGGCCGAGGGCATTTAGCTAAGAATGGTAAAAGCACCGTAATCCCAGCGTGTATGTTTGTAAGAATCATAATACAATCTTCTGGTGAGAATATCTGAAGAAATAAATCATAAAGTGATACATCGTCAACTAAGCTGAGTTGTAGCGCTGTCGAGTAGGAAGGCAAGAACGCCCGGGAAGATCGAAAGATGCCCAAGACTGCCAAGGCCCTATATTGTTTAGGTGTGGAATTGGATTGGATGCCTGGGAAGCTCCGGCTGCCAAGTGCACCTACTACTTGGCACCCTTAGGTATTAAGCAGGGTCTACACCCTCTCGTCAATTCCTTTTTGTAGGGGAAGTTTTGGTATTTTTGCAGTTTAAGGGAAAGTTAATAAAACACGCTGACCACTAGAATTGACGAGAGGGTGTAGGACTCTGAGGTACGAAATGACTATGGAGGGCATTGGTTGGTAGAAATAACCAAAGAAATTTCTTTTTCGTGACGGAGAAGTACTAAAGAGAGTGGCAGCATAGGGGGTTATGTGCTGTGCTGTGCACATATACAGCCCAAATTTCCCATTACGTGCGGTTAAACGACTGTAGCGAGACCAGAATAATGGCTAGCAAAAGTTGGCAGCCAAATTAAAAGAACTAGTTGCTGATACTGAATTTCCTGATCAGTCTTTTAGCCAAGAATATCAGGTAGTTCACCACAGACCGACCCACTCTTCCCTTCCATGTAAGACTCTTTGCTTCTGAACGTTCTAAATCACTCACCTCCATCAATTATATTTTCCGCTTTTGCAAGCATGGCAGCCCAAACCATCTTCGCTAATTCTGGACACTGGCATAACTTATCCTTGAAGTTTGTGAACTCCTTCTGCGCAAACGACCAAAAGTTCTCTGCAAAGTAACCGGAAATAATTTTCCGCATCTCGTTATCAGCTTCGCAGTCTGTGGATGCCTCCGCAAAGACGATCTTCGCAACAAGCAGAATTTCCAGAAGTGGCCATGGTTTTAGAATCTTCAGCTTCTCCACTACAAGCTCCATAAGATCATCAATGAGTATCTCGCGAGCAACTTCCCATGCCTCTGCACATTTTAGTATTGCGATTTGTTTTCCTGATGGTGTTGTGGCGTCCTCAACGTGAGCCTCTTTAGTTCCTCTCTTCATCAATAGAGGCTTGAAATCGCCTCTAGTTAGAAATTCAACCACGCTGGAGAAGTAAGTGGAGTTCAACTTGTTGTATGCAGGGCGGCGCATGCAATAGCCATTCTTTTCTTCCCAAGCCATGACGTCTCTGAAACATCCCCGGTTTTCGACTTGGATTCGCGGGATCTTGAAAGGTTGTTGAGATTTGCCAATGAAGAAGGTGACGATATCTTTCGGAAGACTAAATAAAAGTGTCAGCCATGACAAGTTGCCAAGTATTTGATTCCAAAAATATACTCAGAATTTGGTGTCTCGTCATCTTGGGTCGGTTCAGTTATTGGCGATCCTGATGGGGCAGGGTCATCAGATTCATCATCAGAAGTATCTTCGAAGAGGCCCAAATCTTTGAGGTCGCCTTCCTGAGATTTGGGGGATAGGGGAGCCAAAGTATCTTCGTTAGTTACACTCTTTTTGTCGCTGAGCGGAAATGGAGTGCCAAGTCTCCTTCTTTTTACGGGAGTCGGGCTTTCCGTAGAACCCAGTGTTAATAGCTTTCTCTTTCTCGATACGTTGGCGGCAGACTGCTTTGATGAATCTGACTTTTCTGGACTAGATGCGTCATTTGTGTTATCACCTTCCTGGTCGACAAGTCTAGCAAAGAGGGAGTCGCGCCAATAATCTAAGGAAGGAAATGGATTCTCAGGGTCTTGAACGGCCATATAGGCAGAGAGAAGATTGCTNTTCATGCCTGCTCTAGCATCTTCGCAAAGTGGTTCGAATCCCTCGACATCGCCACGAGCGACCCAAAGACTGAGAAAGACGTGGCATTAGTAGGGACTCAAATAATAAGAGAGGAGATGGATATATGGAGCTAGGTCGCCTACAATTCGAATTTGTGCATTACCAAAACCGGGAACATATATCCATAGGGACGAATCTTTAGGATCTTCTCTGGTACCATGTCATCAGTGCAGACAACAGCAGGCCAGAGGGGCTCAGAAGACGATAATGCAACCAAGCAGTAACTACCTGGAGTAAAGGTAGAGCTGGGAGACATGGCCATAGCGATTATATTGGAGACTAGGCGAGCCAGGAGAACGATACTTGGAAGGAGCTGGGAGCTGCAAACGGGATAGAAAGAAAGCCGGGCCTGCTTCTGTAGTAAGAACGAATTGTATTGGTACGATAAGAATGCGCCGCTGGTGGGAGGTGAAGCCTGAACGAGCAGAATTTGATAAGAATTCAATGTGCGGGTGGTAAATGGTTGAATTGGAATGAGTAACAGCTCGAAATAAGTCAGCTGGATTGTTCGCTGCGATGTGCTTATTATTCCATCTGAGTGACGCGTAAGTTAGGGTAGCGCCGGATATTCAGGCGCATTGGGAAGGCAAACGATACTTGAGACGATGAGCAGGGTGAAAGGTAAAGAACGGCGGTTGAGAAGAAGTGGTTGGCCGAAGAATATGAATTGTGTGGGGCGCCGCGAAGCGTTGGAGTTGGACGTGAGGAGAAAGGACGAAGCGAAACCGAGTATTGGAAGTGAGCCGTCAGATCAGCGACGAAGAAGGCTGCTAGGTTCCCAAGTCAGTGGTCGAATTTCGAGGAAGAAGCTGCAATGGAGGTGCGGAGATTGCGACACTAGAGGTAGGAATAGCAAGAGAGGTTAGGCAGTGCTAAACGTCAGCATGGCACGGTGAGCTACCAGCGTAGGGAGCGATACATGAGCTTGGTGGGAGGCCAACGTGAAGTGAGATAGCACTGCTTTACCTCTCTATGGCTGAGGATAGACCATAGTTTTGAGGCAGATCAATGGGCTAGGAAGGGAGATAATGGGACACCAAGTTCTTAACCAGATGAGCATTGAACTAGATTGAAGAGAGTCGTATATTTGAATGAATAATAATGAGTTGAATAGTAATGGGTTGGACAGTAATGAGTTAAGTCGATTGGGGCTTCCCTTAAGATATGCTCAAAGCAGCAGTCAGAGCAATCTCGGAGTGAACGTGTAAACTGAGAGTGGTCTTTAGGGATGGAGGCATTTGAGAAATGCTCCGGGGCTATCTGCACGCTATCGCTACATTTTGGATTTTAGGAATTAACATTTTTACTTAGTAGCAAGAATTTGTAAGTTATCTGCAATAATGGCATAAAAATAATTTGGAGAAGAAAGATGGAGACAGCGGAGGTCGTCGACGAAATCTCCGCGTCACATGACCGTGATTTTGTCGATAGCAACATCTGGCTTCATTTGAGCTTCCCACGGCTCTCAACTCCGTGACAAATCCCTGGTGCTTCCGCCACGCCACCCCGCCTTCTCTTCTCTTCCTCTCTTCCTCTCTCTCGACCATCCCGGTCAGAAAGCTCTCCACGCACCCGTTCTCTCTAACCGTTCCATCTAACGGTTCTCGAAATCTACGAAAATGCTCGGCCTCTCCAATATGCAACCGCGGCAGCTCGCCGCCCAAGTCCTCAACTTCGCGCTCGTCCTCAGCACAGCCTTCATGCTCTGGAAAGGACTCTCCGTGGCTACCGACTCGCCGTCCCCAATTGTCGTTGTGCTGTCCGGCAGCATGGAGCCTGCGTTCCAGCGCGGCGACCTCCTGTTCTTGTGGAACCGCGGGCAGGATATCCAGATCGGCGAAGTTGTGGTGTATAATGTCAAGGGGAAGGATATCCCGATTGTGCATCGGGTTGTGAGGAGGTTTGGGGGAGGGTGAGTGCCATCATTCGTTATCCATTATGGTAATGGGGTGGATGTCGGCGCACAATTGATGGCGTTGTGTTTAGTTTTGGGAGGACAGGTTCTGATTTATTATATGACAGAGATTCGCCGCTCCAGCTCCTCACTAAGGGCGACAACAACGCGGCGGACGATACGGAGCTTTATGCACGCGGCCAGAATTTCCTCAACCGTAAGGAGGATGTCATCGGCAGTGTTGTTGGGTACATCCCATTCGTGGGTTACGTGACAATACTGCTGAGTGAGTATCCTTGGCTGAAGCAGATCATGCTCGGGTTGATGGGACTAATGGTCGTGCTGCAGCGGGAATGAGCGACGAGAACGACGCAGTATTTAGAGTAGTATACCTGGTAGCATACCCGGCAGTATCGAGAGTATTGCGCCTGTTTAGTTAGAGCGGTGTAAATGGCATTCAATGGGGCGTTCCAGGATGCTTTGAGACTTACTAGCGTTCGCATAGGTGCTAGTTTTCAGTGGGTTGAACCCGGGGGCGGAGAATGATATCCAAAAGATCTCTCTACGGAGATGGAGAGGACATAGGGGTATTGTTGATAGTCCCCGTGAAACTGAGTATCGTGCCACACATTAAGTCAAGACGATATCTAGCCTGCATTTCTTTGGCCACTAGTGGGATATCCTCTGCATCTCGAGGATAGAGACAAACAATGAACTCGTTGAGGAAGGAAAAGTTCGAACTCCCGGCCACTGCCTTAATACTTTGGAAACGTGAACGGATATCACGTGGGAAGACATCACCCTAACCACCGGGCCACTTCCGCATTCTGACTAGAAGGATATATAGGGGATATTGATAATCAAGAGCAAGTCACTCGCAGACAAGAAGGCATGTGATGTATGAACCCATATCGATGGACACGTAGCGGTGAAGCCTCGAAAGGATGAATGTCCTGGACAGTGGCGTGATTGACGAAGCGATTCTAACGAAGGAAAGATCCTTGGGAATATTGGGTGGTAATCGTTGATAAGATTAAAGAACGGTACGTGCGAAGTGTCAATCTCATGACGAAGGGGAATTAGAGAAGCAAGCATATCAGTATCACACGAAACTAGCATTGAGAACATTTCATCGCAAAGACATTTTCATACCCCAGATAGCTAGTATACAGAGAGGAATCATGATGCCAGGAGAAGCATTACTGAGTGAGCTCATTAGCTCGTGATATAGCGTCTGGAGAAGTTAAAAGACGCGACACGGTCGACAGCGACACCCATGTGCTGCTGTGGACATGGAGACCACATGTTGTCAAGCTTGTGAAACCTCCCGCAAAAGAAAGCAAAGAAACCGATTCCCAATATCCTGAGCCCATGGCACCACACCGTTGGACCCGGGATACGAAGCAAATCCACCGAACAAAAGAAAAGTGGGAGTAATCGCAGAGCACAAGAGAGGAGGCTTGACCAAAACGAAGCGAGAGCAAAGGTGTGAATGACCTCTACTCAGAAGCTTCCTCCTCGTCATCACCACCCTATAAAGGATAAGTTAGTTTATGTCAATGATGATTCGGGGTAGTGGTCAAAAACATACAGCAGCATATGCGGCCTTCTCCTCCTCGTAACGCTTCTTGTCCGCAGCAGCCTTTGACTCGTACGGAGCCCGCTGCTTGTCGGACAATGCCTTCCATCGCTCGCCAAGCATCTTGCCAACTTCGCCTAAATTGGAGTTAGCTGTGGATCTTTTAAGCTGATTGACGTCGATGACGTACCGAACTTGATGCCGGGGTTTTCCTCGCGGACTTTTTCACGCTGTTCATTCGCAAAGAACATGTACGCGGAGAGACCACGCTTGGGTGCATTGGGATCTGCGAAGTTGCGTGAGTTCCGCTGGAATTAGAGAAAATAAAAAGCAGGAGTGAGAATCACCCTTCTTCTTCTTGCCGGTGTCGGCTTTGGCGGCCTTAGCCTTGCGGGTAGTGGTCTTCTCCTTAGGCATGTTGAGCTCGTGTGGAGTTTGGCTAAAGCGAAGCGAATATTAGTATGAGCTGGATTGCTGATACGAGAGCGAACGAGTGGTTGCTTGCTTAGACGGTGAAGATTTTAATAAAAGAACAGGAAGGAAGCAGGCGGCGATCAGTGCAAATAAAATGCTCTCAAACAAAAACATATTGTGATGTTGACTAGAGTGAGGTCGGTGCAGTGAATCGTTGCTGTTGGTGAGCGAGATCGCGATTTGCCAAATTGGGCTGTCACGGTCGCAAAACAACAACAATGCCCAATGGACGGGAAGTTGACTGGTTCGAAGAGAGAAAGTTAGTACTGACCTGAAAAAGTTGTGCGATTAAGAAAATGTAGTAGGTTTTGTATGCAACTGTTGTGGTGGTCAGCGCAAGTGGTTATTAAAGCGCATCGACGACGATGTCAAGGCGAAAGAGAGGATAAGTCAAGAAACATGACGATAATAATAGAGTTTGAGGCACATGTCGCGCGGAATGAGGGGAAAAACGCGTGATTAAATGCGTGGAGTGGAGGGTTGAGTGCAGTGATGTTGACCGGATGGTATCAAAACAGTCAAGCGAAGCTCACCAGTTTGTTTTGCCTTGGGCGCAGAGAGAGGATTTGTATGAGAGAAGTGTGAGGAGAGCGGTTGTATGAGGGCGCGGGCAGACTGCTGGTTATGCTGTGCGGGTCTCCCAGCCAGGCCACCGCTGACATAACCCACACTAACAAAGAATGGGCCAAGACACTCGCACGCTCGGTTCAAGCAGGTGCTGCCACAAACGGACGGACATGAAGGAGGGCTGCCTCGTCGCCTTTGACAGGGCAGACCTGTTGCATTTCGCATCCAGTCGCTGCACCCATTTTGCTGCTGACCTCCTTAGGTTCCTGAGAATGATGGCAATACTGTGCATATTCTGCACTGCTCCAGCTTGCACATCATCACGAGCATGCCTATGGCGTCTGCTCATTATTTTGATCGGGAGGATGCCCTGGGCTGCGCAACTTTTAGGGAAAGCTCCATGCCTGGCAGCGCTACTTGATACAGCGACCCGACACACATTCCTGGTTTCATGCGACCCGTTTATTACACGCCGTTCATAGTTGGCTACCATTCGCCCACCGATGAAATTGACTTGGAACGCGTTATCTGCTCACCAGGCTGGCTGAACGGCCACCCGCAACCAGCGAACCCTTCTCTATCCAAACGCCCAGTTTGCATGTAACAAAATAACGGCTAATAACTATCTAATACCATTTCGTTCTAACGACTTCGAAAAAAATTACGGGCTCTCGAGAGGGTGTGTTTGAAAGGAATTATGGGAGGGCTATTGAGGGGTGCACGGAGGCACCGTAGGGACACTCTAATGCCAAGCAAACGATACATGGAATCTCATGAGTATATTGCAACTAAGCTTTTAATAAGTTATGATTTGATGGAACGCAGGCTTTTAAATGCGAGGAATTCTTGCCTTGATGCAAATTTCTATAATAGTTGTTTAGGGTGCATACATTCAGTGGTCACGTGATACGCCATGTTCAGGTTTGGGATGGGTGCAGGGACTTGCATATAAGTTGGGGGCGGGCTTGGGAGCGACCTTGGGGGCGAACTTGCGGGCTTGCGGTATCTATCACTTATCTCAGGTAACATTCACGCATGCTGAACGCATGCTGAAGGCAAGCTTGAAAGCTTCACTAGAAGACCTTCTAGGCAAGGTGTCTGGTCGGAAATGGACCAGGTTATTTTTAATACTATGGGAGGGTTCTATGGTGTTGAGTATATGATGAATTCCTTTTGCATGGGTCCTTAGGTTATCGATAAGATCTAGCCAATCAGATTAGATAAATTTGATAACCGCACTTTGGAATATAAAGCTTTTGATTTCATAGCAAATTAGTATATAAGCTTAATATTTGGAATTAAGCTGCTCTATATAAGGTCTCCAGCAGTCGTTCTTCCTGCAGAACGGTATGATTGAATTCTATATAAATATACGCGTTGTTTTGATTCTGATGTTCGTGCACGAACCACTTCCTCTGAGGACCCCATCGTGCTAAGGGATATACGATACAATCTTTTGCGTTGACCCTCCTTTCTCTCACCTCCCACTTTGCATTCCCGAGGTTGCGCGTGCGACCCCTCTAGACGGCGTTGTTTCAAGTATGAACTAGGATGATATAAACACTACCAAGCAAAACAGATTCCAGACCCTCCGGCAAATGTAAGTTTTAGGTATTTGACACGTACGGATACCCCTAGAGGTCGGCAACAGCACCGCCAAATTAACCCCGTACGCCTCGGGCCAGCCGTCCCGCCCGCTCCTAAGGGGCGCAAACCTTTAGCTCGCGAGTATCCCAGCCAGGCGACACGTAGAAGCACCCTTTGACAGCCCCTACTGGGCAGCGTTGAAGGCGTCAGTCTGGCATGAGATCGATGCCAATAACATAATGTGAAAAGACCTGAGAGCAAGTTCCACCATGATGGTTAGGCGTGTTCAAATCATCGGGTTTTCCACAGCTCGCAGATTTTAGACGCTCCTTGTCCAGCAGTGAGGGAATGCTCAGCCGATGGCGCATTTAAAAAGAGAACATCATGGATATCATTGAAGTTCATCTTCATCGTCCATCACAAGCTCTCGTAACATTGCGTCATTCGCCCAGTTGATGCCACTTCCAACAACCATGCCGGCCACAACGCTCTTCATGATTCGCCATCGTCTTCTTACCATTTGTACGCGGCTATCCAGCTCTTGAAGTTGAGCACGGAGTTTTGGATCCTCAATCTCCTCGGTAGATTGAGACTTCATCTCTTCAGCAAGGGCAAGGAGGGTCTGCGCGAGCTCCTTATTCTTTTCATTCGCAGAGAGGTTGCTTTTTTCAGCCGCAGCCAAGGCGCTTAATGTCGAGGACAGCTTTGCAGCAAGGGAACTATGAACCATGGAGATTACATCTCGTTCATTAATCAGTGGAAGAAGTCTCCTACGCTCGATCAGTAATTGTCCTGTAATAATGCCTCTTTTTACATAACCTTACCTCTCAGCAATGGCAGCATTAGCACCTCCGTGAACAGCTTTGAGAACTGGGTCGGTCACCAAGACGTTATGAGCAATCCTGTTTCGCAACAGGTATTTTGTTCTTTCTTCAAGAGCTTCACGCTCTGCTTTAATCAGCTGTGCTTGTAAAACATCATCTGATATGCCAGAAAGATCTTGCAGCTGCTCTACAAATGGTCAGGCGAGATTAGAATGCCATCTGATCTTGAGACATACCTTGTGCCTGAGCCTCAAATAAACTACCCTCAAGTCGCAGTTCTTGTTCCTGATCATACAGCTCAAGTATCAACCTTTCTTGCTCGGTAAACGTGAACGTGTCGTTCTTGTTTGCTTGTATCAAATCCGTAAACTCTGACCGCTGCGTTGGCACATCCGCTGCAACATTTTCCGTCGAGTGATCCGTCATAAGGTTCCGTTCCGCACCCTATCTCGAATGGTCACAAGATTTGACGTTTGTTGGTTAATAAGACCGACTTAGTCGTGACCATAGGGCATCATTACATAAGCGAGCCCCCAGATCCGGGGCCTGAAGCTCACCCTAATTTCCACATCCGCCATCAATTCTCCACGGATGCGTGGAAGCTCTCTACTTTCTATATAGAAGGGAGTCGCGGATGTCATTACAAGTCGCTGTAGCCCATACGGGTGAGCGGCTTGATGCCGACCCCGTAACCTTCAGCTCCGTGGATGCGCTGCGGACCTGGATATCTAAAGCCACCCAAATACCACCTCAGGATCAGATTCTCTTGACGACTCGGAGCAAGCATGTCAAG